GCAGGGATACTTGGTGGTTGGTCACCAAAGTCAGCTTCCAGTCGGGCGAGGACAACATCTACTTCAACATCTAACAACCCCACTGCGAGGGTGGGGAATAAGACTAAAAATGAAAGATCAAACACTCATCGCCTAATCCCCCCCCAAAAAAAGCCTAACATCCTAAAGCCTAAAGGCCCTAAAACCCACGAAGCTTTGTATTTTGGACTCAAAAGTCCAGGAGCTCGAGGAGGCAGCCAAGAAGAACTTGGAGGAGACCTCAGGATACAGGCTTTTTACGGTTTGTAGGATTTAGGGCTTAGGACTGAGGTTTAGGGTTTGGGGTTTGGGTTTTAGGGTTGAGGGTTTAGGGTTTAGAGTTTGGGATTTAGGGCTTAAGACTGAGGATTATTCAGTGTTTAGGATTCAGGATTTAGGGCTGAGGATTCAGGAGTTAGGGTATAAGGTGTGGATTTAGGGTAGTTTAGGATGTTGTGTTCAGGTTTTAAGGTTTAGGGTTCTCTTAGAGGGTTTACAGGATGAAGTCGGACGTTTAGGATTCAGGGTTCTTGAAGGGTTTAAAATATATTCTAGTTCAGGGTGTAGGGGGTTGAGTGCTCAGGCTATAGTTTAGGCCCAGGATCTTCCAGCATCCCCCTAACTACTTTGAAATAGAGGCTGGTAGGCCTTAAACCCTAAACCCAATGTCCCTTTTGTAGGTACTTAGGCTATGGAGAGGTACTCACTCCGGGCGCCTTGGGGTCTTTGATCTGGTGTTCAGGGCTTTTGGATTCAGAGATTTGGGTTTAGGGTTTAGGCTTTGAAGGGTTTAGGGAAAAGTGTAATTTTTTAGAGCATTGGGTTTTGGGTTTAAAGGGTGTAGGGCTCAGGGTAAAGGTTTAAGGCTTGCTCAAATTTCGGAGCAGTTGGGATTCAGGGTTTACAGGTGCAACTGCTATTATATTCCGCCCAGAAGACACCAAGTATTGTTGACGTGATTTTTCATGTAGGGGATTACATCTGCACCATACAGCTTACGTTTAGTGATTCAGGTTCTTGATTTTAGGATCTTTTGAAATGGGGGGGGGGCCTTCTCATGGGTTCCTCCATATTACAGAGGCACCAGAGTATGATCAACATCAGGGCATGCGTCTGGTGATTGAGATAAACCCTCAAGCCCAAACTTGTACTGGCTTTGCTTGGGCGGAACAGATAGGTCTTTACATTGGATGCTGCTAGATCAGATTTCAAACTAGCCTGAAGCCAGATGTTGACCCTTATAAACGACCAAAGTGTTTAGCATGGCCTGAGGAGCCTGTGGATTGAAGCACAGCACTTCTCGCATGCAAGCTGGTAAAGCTTTTGGCTAAGTTCCCATATGCACCCTGCCGGCTACCGAAAGTGGCGGTCGGTCATTCACCTACACTCCTTAACGATAGACCCTCCTTAACGATAGATGTTCCCACTGTTGTATTCATTATTAAGGGATAGGTGGCTCTAATGTCAGGGGGACGGGATTATTCACCATTTTGAGCCTCTCAGGGTTCTTGGTCGAGCTTTCGGGTTTGGGTTTCAGACTACGGGTTAGGCTTTGGGAAAACAGAACTTCACAAAGGGGGTTTTGGGTCTCTGTTCCCTGTGAGCAGGGAGCCTAAAGATCACCCGTCCGGATCCTAAGCCCCAAACCTGAGATCTCAGTTTGTCCTAAAGCTCTTGGGTATTTACACTCAAGTTATAATCAGGTGAATCCCTGATCACCCCAGTTTCGGTGTAACTTTCCATGTGTCTTTTCAATTTGATTCCCCAGCATACCGGCACCTTAATCCCGAAACCCTAAATCCCATGATTGTGGCGTTTCGCAATTTACCGTCAGATTTTCACCTGCAGCCTCAAACTGACATCCTGTTGGAGGGTAGAGATTAGGATTTAATGTTTTGCAGTTTGGGTCCCTTGCCTGTGCTGCTAAAGCCAGTATGGTGTATGAACCGCATATGTTTCTGGACTCCGAGAAACTGATTGCCGAATGTTGCAAGTGCAGGTCTCGGCTTGCCTCACATGCGTAAGCTACCCTCTCGCTCTCAAGCAGTATTCCCTCATGTTCAGCATAATTAAAACTTATATAGTAGCTATACTCGCAAAACCCTGTTCGATCATGTAGGCCCCTACATAAGGCGTAAACTCCCATGAGACAGAGGGCAAGTCACAACGAGCTCAAGCGAGCTCACCCGTAATAGCAGCTACTATTGAGAATACATTCAAAATGGTCGGAATTTGCGTCATTAATCATTTTACTTTGCCCAGTCATGAGAGGAGTACCAACAGACCCAGAAGCAGCGGATAGAGGCGGGTGAAGCTTTCATATGCATTAGGTCTGGGTTGCAAAGAAAGACTCTTAAATCGTCTCTGTATAATCCCAAGAGGGATGCCATAGCCCCTACGTACAGTAATCATGCTACATATTATATCGGGGTCTATATAGGGAGTAATGGAAAAGAAAATGGAAACTACTATATCATATAGGTTTCTTTTTTGGGATGTATACCCTAAACCCGAAACCCTAATGTGGCCCCAGGATATTCGTTTTTGAGAAGCTCGTCGGATTTGTGCTTCCGGTCTGGGCGGGGCTCGGGTGCGGACGTGTTGTTACAGTGTAGGGTGTTTCGAATGGTTGGCATCCGACAGCTTTGTCAAATTGATGGAGGATCTGCCTGTAGCACGCTTCAGAAATAAAGATTGCAACGTCTTGTATGGTCTGCGAACAGCGCGAACAGCGCACGCCGCAGGAAAGAGTTCTTTGGTAGCATGGGCTCTGGCCGCTTCGTGCCTCAATCTCCAAATGTCGTCAGCAGCTAGAGAGGGGTCTGATCTTGCGAAGATCTCCCACATCTTCATAGTCATATTAGTATTACTAATAGTTGTAGTATGTTGTAGTAGTACATAGTGATGATAATAATAGCAATCACAATACTTTGCGCCAACCACCCTCCCAAGAAGAGCGACAATGCATGATCGTGGCTAGCGTAGCTTGCGCATTGACCTCAACATGGTTGCCACAGCTAAACTTGCAGTTGTTCGCACTTGCACTGTTCCGCATGAAGCTCTTTCTAGTTACGCTTGGTTGAAGATATGCTTGCTTTTTCTCGTCCTCCTAAGCCCTACATCCGAACCACAACCGCAAACCATACAATCTACTTGGGGCCCATACATGATCTCGCTGGGCGGCCAGGGTTTGCGTCAAGCAGCGCGGGAGAAGGCCCGGATGATCATTTCAAGACTTCAGCATGTAAAGACTACAGTTTCTCAAGATTGTCATAATATGGTTCATATCATTGTTTGCGTAGACATTCTATTTAAGTACCAAGGTCCCTCTATAAAGCTTTGAGGGAAGCCTTCATGAGAACGACCCAACCCTTTCCAATGATCTTTGATCTCTCGGGCTTATGGGTGCCTTTGAGGTGTAAGAACTTCACGTTGTTTTGAGGAGGGCTTGACGGCTTCATGATGTGATAGGCTAGCATTCACCATACAGGCTTTCAACCCTAGATGCGTAGTCATGCAGCAGTTTCAAGGTTTCGGGGAAACCCTAAACCCTAAACCCTGAACCCTGGGTTTCAGGCAATCGTTTTGGTTTGCTTGATGTTTGGCCTTAGCGGTCAGTGTTTGGGGTTAGGAGGTTACCCAGGCTTGGAGCCCCCCGCCCGCTCATAGGCTGGGTTGCTGTTAAGGAACTTCAATTAAGTTACCACAATGGGTATATATATATATATACTAAGTAGTAGGGTTTCCCCAATATAGTAACTTAATTTAAGTTCCTTAACAGCAACCCAGTAGGGTTTAGGGTTTGGGGAACAAGGCGGTAACCAAGTGTAGTTGGACTTGTGTTATCCTCATGTTTTCCTTGTCTATGATTGCACATGGGTGAAGAGGATGAGTTCAAGTCAAAATGACCTTCCCCACCACCCTGAACCCTAGAACCTACATCCTAAACCTTTGATATTCATTATTGTTGTTAGCAGCAGTGGCTGCCTATCTTCATTGTCGTCATGGAGAATATCCGAGCTTCTGAAATGAACCTTGTATAATCCATAGCAGGCACCCCATAAAGCCCCAATAACCCATGCC